CATACCATAAATTCATAGGGCATAGATTTCAGCGGCTCAAGCTCCAATCTCCTCTTTTACTGATCTTGCATATTCTGGGGTCACTATCGCCCACCTAAACTACCCAGGTCCAGGTACTGGACAACTAAAGACAGCCCCTGCACCCCACAGCCTGAAATTACTTAAACCGGCTAATCCTGAGCATGCTCACCCCATGTCAGCCATTCCATCCCAGCAACCACAAAAAAGGCCTCTCCCCTCCCTCTGCTGCCTGACCCACCCTGGTGCTCCTGGAGCCCCCACGGCATGGCATGCCCCCCTGCTGCCCCGGAACCAGGAGGAACAAGCCCTCCTCTCAATGGCGACGTCTCCTGATCTGTGGGCCCTGCCTGACCGAGGTAACAATAAAACCTCCATTTTAAAACACAAAGCTGCCTGCGAGGAAAAGTGGTGTAGCAGAGGTGAGGTGGAAGGGAAGGGGATGGTGTGCAGAGGCCTCCGGGGAGTGGGCCAAGCAAAGGCCTGCAGGGTTCTCGGTTCTCGGACACAGGGCTGGCGCAGAACACCCGGATGAGAACCACCGTCACAGGGCATGTTCCGCTCATCACCACCACCTTTGGCAGGTGTGGGCGCCATGCTGGACCTTAGGTGGGCAAAGCTGTGGTTTTACAACCAAAGGAGGATGTGTTAGAAGCGGCAACCACAGGGTTTCTGTGTCGCCCTCCATGTCCATTTGTGTTGAAATGGACATTTCACTTGTTTCCTAACCCCGCATCCTGACGCCTGAGTCGTGATGTCTACTGCCCTTCGGCCCCAGGAGCCCGGCTGTCACTCACAGCAGGGCAGCACGGGCCCTGCGTCTTATTTTGGAAGACCTCACTCTCCGCACCATCAGCAGCGCGTCCCAGTTTGGGTCTTGGGGGTTTGCTAAGGTGACTTGAGTGGACTAGGGGATAAGAGCTTAGGCAACAGAGGGAGGGGAAAAAATGTTATGTAAATCCAAACCTGCCACATGTGATCAGCAATGCATGGCAACGACTGTCACACTGGGGGGTTTCTGGGATACTTACTAGCTGGCAAACGAAAGGAAGGGGGTGGTGGAAAGGTCCAAGCCTCCCTCCACTCTAGTGCAGCTGGGAGCAGCAAATGCAGGCTCTTCCTGTTCTGGGAGCCAGCAGTGGTGAGCACAAGCCAGGAACAGCAGTAGCCACTGGGGTATATGATCCCTCAGCTCACTGCAGGCCCCAGGCTACCCAGCACCTCACTTCACTACAAAGCCGGTATTACAATTATTATCCTCTAACGATGAAGCAACAAAAACTGAAGAGCTGACGTACCTCGCTCCTCATCCGCTCCCTCCACTCCCTCAAACACGAGTAACCTGGGACAGTGGGACGCGAAGTTCAGGCCACCTCCCTTCAGGGCCTGGCTGTCAACATAGAAGCTCCAAAGGATGGGAGCCAAATGGTTCCTCATAATAAACTGGAGTGGGCTTGGCAGGGTAGGGCTTTGAAAGGACATCTCTGAGCGTGGAGAGTCAGGTCATGCGGGCGGTTCTTCAAGGGGAGGAATCAAAACTCTGGCACCATCAACTCCTTCACACTCAACCCATCAACAAACATTTAGCACAGCTGCTATAGAACGATGCTTTGTGAAAGTCTCCTTGTCTTCGATGCATCCCAACCATCCAAGGGAAGTTACCCCTTTTTACATTTGCAATGACGTGGCATGAACCAAAGAGAAGAGCACAGTCACAAAGAGATGGAATTTGCATGGGATGGCGAGTCTGTCAGTTTTGAATTCCAAGCCCCTCTGCAGAAACAGAAGATACTCTGAGACTTTAAAAGCTCCAAGGATTAAAGGAATATTGGCTGTGGGGGGCAGAGGGGACACTGGACTCCTCACAGAACATGAAATGGGAATTAAGGCTTTGCTCTTTCTCCTTCATACTTGAGGTGGACTCAGGTGTTGTCTGCGTACAAAAGTCAGAAATGGCTGGGAAGGGTGGAGCTTCTCAAAGAACAGCTAAGCTGGCCACTCTGGGTAGGGTGGCACCCTGTTGCTATGGTTCCTGCTGGCTGACAAGGGGCTGGGGATGTACCGGGGGCACCAAATGAGACAGACAGCTGATGTTGTTTACAGAAGCAGCCCACGTCCTCCACCTATTGGGTTGTTAACGTTCCCTCTTTTGCCAGACCCCAGGCTGCACAGGAAAACACCTACATAGTCAGACGCAGGCATCCCTCTCTTTACTGTTTATTCACAGATAACGCCTTTTTACAAATTGAAGCTTTGTGGTAACCCAGCGTTGAGCAAGGAAGTCTATCGGCACTGTATTTCCAACAGCATATGCCCACTTCATGTCTCTGGGTCCTATTCTGGTAATTTTCACAAGATTTCAACCTCAGTATTTCATTATTAGGGTGACCTATAATCAGTGACACTTGATATTACTATCATAATCGTTCTGGGGCACCAGGAATAGCACCCATATAAGATGGCAAACTTACCCTACGAATGTTGTGTGTGTTCTGACAGATCTACCAACTGACCCTTACCCTGTGTCTCTCCCTCTCCTTGGGCCTCCCTATTCTCTGAGATACAACAATATCAAAATTAGCCCAGTCAGTAACCCTCCAGTGGCCCCAGTGGCCTCTAAGGGTTCAAGTGAAAGGAAGAGTCACCCATCTCTCACTGTAAATCAAAAACTAGAAATAATTAAGCTTAGTGAGGGAGGTAGGTCAAAAGATTGATGTGCAGGAGATTGTTATAGGCCTGAAGTTAGGCCTTTTCTACCAGTTAGCCAAATTGTGAATGCAAAGAGAAATTTTTAACAGGTGATTAAAAGTGCCACTCCAGTGAATAAGAAAGTCAAATGGCCTTATTGCTGATATGGATAGAAGGCCAAATCAGCCACAATATTCCCCTAAGTTAAAGTTTAATCTAGAGCAAAATCCTAACTCTCTTCAATTCTGTGAAGGCTGAAAGAGGAAGGCAGTTGCAGAAGAAAACTTAGAAGACAGGATTGGTTCATGAGGTTTAAGCAAGGAAGCCATTTCCATAACCTGTAAGTGCAAGGAGAAGCAGCAGGTGCTGATGGAGAAGCTGCAGCAGGTTACCCAGAGGATCCCACTAAGATCACTGATGAAAGCAGTTACACAAGACAACAGATTTTCAGTGTAGACTTCAGAAGCACTCTTTTCTAGCGGAAGAAGACACCATGTAGGACTTTCATAGCTAGAGAGAAGAAGTCAATGTCTGGCTTCAGAGCTTCAAAGGACAAGCTGACTCTTGCTATGGGCTAATTGCAGGTAGTACCTTTAAGTTGAAGCCAATGCTCACTGGCCATTTTGAAAATCTCAGGGCCCCTAAAAATGATGCGAACCTGCTCTGCCTATGTTCAGTGAGTACAACAATAAAACCTGGATGTCAACACCTGTTTATAATATGGTTTACTGAATATTTTTATTCACAGTTGAGACCTACTACTCAGAAAAAAAATTCCTTTCAAAATATTGCTGTTCATTTTCAATGCACCTGGTCACTCAAGAAGCTCTAATGGGTATGTACAAGGAGAAGAATGTTGTTTTCATGTCTGCTAAGACAACATCCATTCTGCAGTCCACAGATGAGGGAGTAATTGACTTTCAAGTTTTATTATTTAAGAAATACATTTCAGCCGGGCGCGGTGGCTCAAGCCTGTAATCCCAGCACTTTGGGAGGCAGGTGGATCACGAGGTCAGCAGATCAAGACCATCCTGGTCAACATGGTGAAACCCCGTCTCTACTAAAAATACAAAAAAATTAGCTGGGCATGGTGGTGCGTGCCTGTCATCCCAGCTACTCAGGAGGCTGAGGCAGGAGAATTGCCTGAACCCAGGAGGCGGAGGTTGCGGTGAGCCGAGATCGCGCCATTGCACTCCAGCCTGAGTAACAAGGGCGAAACTCCGTCTCAAAAAAAAAAAAAAAAACAAAACAACAAAGCAAACGTTTATTGAGTGCTTACCGTCTGCTAGGAGGCAAAGATGAACTAGAGGCAATATGGACCCTAAGGAGCTGGCCACGGGCAGAGGCAATAATTGCAGGTTCCAACGATTCAAAAGCCATCTAAGTTAAGTGCTATAGGGATACGGCAATCACAAAAAGAAGCCACTTCTGGGTAGGATGACTACAGACGAATTCTTCCGTATTCGTCTGACCTGAAACAACCTTCTGACCCAAACCTAGAAGTAAAAGACTCAGCTTTGTGAAGGGCAGGGCCACTGCCACTGGTGGGCCAGTCCCCGGTGTGCACATGTGGATGAAGTGGCTCCTGGTAACAACTGACCCCACACAGCTATTTTCGCAAAACAACAACAACAAACAGTGCCACAGAGCAAGGCAGAGGAGAAGGTTCCACAGGGTGGACCATGCCTTCTACTCAGGGCGGTGACCCCCAGGGCAGCTGAGGGGGCCCCCGAGAGAAATAAAGGGGCCAGCAGAGGCTCGCAGGGCTTGGGAATCAGAGCTGAGAGGCATGGGGGAGTCCACAGGTTTAAGGGCCGAGACCCGGCGTCCGGACTTACACTTCTTGTGTGTGCTGGGTGGACTCACGGGGACAGGAGGGAGTCTTCAGGTATCCCAGGTGCTCGGGGCCCAAAGACTCCGAGAGCCGACGCCAGGCTAGCCGGAAGTTGTGACTGCCGCTTCCTCTCCACCTTTGCCCTTTACATGGGAGGCTGAAGCTCGGGAAGGCACAGGCATGGAGTGCGGGGAGAAGCGGCGCCCTGGGAGAAGAAGCAATCTTCTCTACAAATTCTCCACCAATTTGTGGAGAAGAGGCAAGCGGGAGGAGGACGTGAAGCGGAGGTGTGGCCTGCGGCGGAAGAGGTGTGGCCCGCAACGGAAGGGGCGTGGCCTGCAATGGAAGGGGCGTGGCCTGTGACGGAAGGGGCGTTGCCTGCAGTGGAAGGGGCGTGGCCTGCAATGGAAGGGGCGTGGCCCACAAAGCTCCTCCTGGTAAGTGATGGGTGCCCCACACGGGGAAGCTGAGGGTGGGCCTGGTTAGATCAGCACGCACTGGGGAGAGACAGGCTGTCTCGCGGCACACACTCTTGGCTGTGGCACAAGCAGCCTTATCAGCACATCTAGACCGAATGTGCTGGCAGCAGGAGGAGCGGGTATCTGTGCAGAGGGGAGAGCTCAGGGAAGCAGCAGCTTCCAGGCTGCGGACGTACAACCCCATGTCCCGGGGATGCCTAGGCAGGGGGTGAGCCCCACAGCCTGAAGGTGGTGACACCACTTCTCCCACCACCAGGCTTGCCAGAGCCCTTCCGGTTATAATTAGATGGAACTTGACTTTAGAAAGCCACACTCGGCCGGGTGCGATGGCTCACGCCTGTAATCCCAGCACTTTGGGAGACTGAGGCAGGTGGATCACGAGGTCAAGAGATCGAGACCATCCTGGTCAACATGGTGAAACCCCGTCTCTACTAAAAATACAAAAAATTAGCTGGGCATGGTGGCGCGTGCCTGTAATCCCAGCTACTCGGGAGGCTGAGGCAGGAGAATTGCCTGAACCCAGGAGGCGGAGGTTGCGGTGAGCCGAGATCGTGCCATTGTACTCCAGCCTGGGTAACAAGAGCGAAACTCCGTCTAAAAAAAAAAAAAAAAAAAAAAAAAAAAAGAAAGCCACACTCTGAGTTGGGTCGAGATTGAGATTTTATAAATGCCATTCAAGCCTTTATGAAATATCCCTCCTATAAATTAATGAACTGACACACCGCATGCGTGTGCACCAATACTGACTCACATTTATTTTGTTAGCAGGCGTCTCCACAGCCCTGGGCACCCTGAGAACGTTCGGCTTCTGATTAACGGGCAGCGCCAATCCTGACATGGGGCAGGCCCTGGATGGATGCAGTCAGTACTGGGAAGGCTCTAGGCAAAGGCAATGAGATGTCCCGGTGCCCAGCACCCCTCCACGACCTCTGCCACCCATTTACTGAGCGGTTCAACCCCAAACCCTCACCTGGGAAGGCCGCTGGGGAAGCCCATGCGGAGCCAGTATCCTTTCTAGGCCAGGCTTCCGGAGGTGAGGCTGTTCCCTCTGGGTGGCCAGGAGCGCAGGACACCTACGGAGCCCAGAGGGTCTCCGACTCTACCCAGTCCGTTTGTATCTGAGGCAGCTGTCCATAGAAGGGAAAGCTGCCAGCATCTTGGTTATACCGCGACATGTTCCTGTGGACATTGCAGCCCTGGGATATGGGATTTAACGGAGAGCGCTCAGGCAGTGAGGGGGAAAGCACACGGGAATTCTCCAGTCCACGGGGAACTGGAACTCCCTGGGGTATGCTGCATAAATGTGAGTTTCTTTGTTGAATTATTGTTGGCTTGAACTATCGCATTTATCAAAATCATTAGATAAGATGTCTTTGCTTCTCTTAAAAAGCCTTCTGAAGAACTTAAAAATCAGCATGAAGAAATACTCAAGTATGAATTGCATTCCAAGTAAAGGGCCTTTCCTAAAAAGAACTTTGCAAACAAAAATCCCTTGAATTAAAAAGTCGTTTATTCATCTTGGCTTCTTTTAGGGATCATAAAGCCCTTTGCTGATGCAGTGAAATCTGGACCCCTCTCCACAGAAAATGTAATCTCTCTCGGTATTGGTGTGTGTATCAGGCAGTCAGCATAAAGCCGCGAAGTTCATGTGATAAATTCACAAGGGTTTCACAAGCTCAAATTGCTTTCAGTATTAGTGGGTGGAGTTCCACAAATTTATAAGTCATTTCAGGTGTGTACAATGTTTTCCTATTGAAAAAAAAAATGACAAAAAAGTTTTTTAGGTTTCACTCCAGATTATTAAACAATTTCATGCAAAGGTCAGACGCCATGGTTCCTGGTGAGACACCGTGACTAGCCCAGGCTCCCTGTTTTGGAGCCACCATGCAGCTGGGAGGCAAGGAAGGTACCGCTGGACCTAGAAGCTGTAGAGGAAGCCCTGAGTGCTGGAATATGAGCCACCCACGAGTCAAGCATTTATACACAGTGACTGTCCTTTCAAAGTCTCCTGAGAATAAAGAAGCAGCAGCAGCAACAACAGCAAAACAAATGAAACCTCAGCTCATCTTTGGGTGTGTAATTCAGGCAGCTCAGATGAATTGCAGCAAGACATACAACCAACAAAGTCTCTTTCTGCTTGTGCAACTCTCTTGGCATTTATCACATTAAAATGACAAGAATACACATTTGAAAGTGGAAATATTGCTCATTATTCTCCAATTAAGTAATCGACTACATTCCTTAACTCAGGAAATGGAGAAAAAATTTACTATCCCTGAGAAAGAAATGCAATCTCTAAACCAGATTTAAATATTTAACTGCAGCTGTGGAAACCACAGGACACCTGCATTTGCATCTGTTTCAGCAAGTTTATGATACCAAACCTTGCAGGTAAGTTGTTCTCAGGTCAGGGAAGATGGAAAATTGTTTGGAGAAGCTTATGTAAGCCCTCGGTGGTGGTGACTTCCTTTGCAGTCATTCCTACAAGGGAGGTTAGGCTGGGAGAATTGGTGCTTTTATTAACAGAAGTTATTTAGGAAATTCCAATCTATTCCATTTAATGACCAAAAACTAAATATCTAACATTACAGCCAACTCTCCCCCGATGACAGACTTCGACGGTATCCAGCTTTCCATCTGTTGACTCTGTTTGATGTTTAATAATAAAACAGCTTCCTTCTCTGCCTCCCTCCCTCTTGCTTTAAGCACTGATTACCCACCAAAGGCCAAGAACCGCGCTTAGGGTCAGGGACCCAGAGATAAGGAAGAATAAATGGTACCTTTGAAAAGTTCTCAATCTACTGGTGAAAAAGAAAAATGGAACCAAATAAAATTAGAGTGATTAGGAGAAGTAGCTTTGGAAGCAAAGGTGCCCAAGTCTCAAGTTGGCCTCCTACTGGCCAGGCAAGTGAAGGGCGACCTCACTGTCCTGTGCCTGTCACTGCATCTGTGAAGACTCTGCCACGTAATCTGAAGTCCTTAGCATGGGGAGGACATGGCGAGCTGAGTTAACTGTACAACAATGTAAAAGAAGTGTGTATGTACGGGTCCTCTCACAGCCTAGGGCTCGCAGGAAACAAGTCCAGTTACGGAGGCTTTTCAGTCTCTCTACATACAGCCTTTATACCTGCCCAAAGGCAGAGTGCGCATTTATTCGATGCTAAATGTATTCAGAAGATACTAATGCTAAATGTATTGAGAAGATGAAGTATTCACCTCTGCATGAAATCTGGAAGGGCTGGTGAAGAGATTAAGTCTCCCAGGCCCCTAAAGCCATCTGAAAAACTGGCATAGGATAGGAATGATTTTGAAAACGTTTTTCTTTATAAGTCTGAAAAGATACTTTTCTGGAGTCACATAAGTTTGAAAAGCAAAATGACTGTACTGACCTACATTCAAAGGACAAACAAACTGTATTATGAGAAGAAATCCGGAGAATTCAGCCTAAGCCAGTGAGAACCAGGGAAATGTAAGAGAAACACCCTTTGCTAAATAAACCCTCCATGCGGGTGCTGGTTCACTGACGGTGCAGGGTGTCGTGGAGCAGGATGTGTCAGACTCACTGGGTGACACCCTTGCCACGTGCCTTGCTGAAGAAAGTTATCTAACCGTTCTGAGCCTCAGCAACCTCTTGTGTAAAAATGAAAGTAAAAATGCTCCTTTTGCAAAAATGCTGTGGCCATTAATTGATCCAACAATGCTTAACGCAGAGATGGGCTCATAACAGACATTTGGAAAATTTTGCTTTCCCTTGTCAAGAGCAGGGCCAGTCACCTCTGAAAGAATCACCTCCAGAACCCGGTGAAAAAAGACCCTCTGTATTAGCTGCCCCCAGCCCCACTGTTCCACAGCATGTACACACCAAACCACAAAGGGAAATGTGCTCTGTTTTCCTGAGATGCAGGTGAAGAAATCTCAGCTCAACAGTATAGAACTCCCAACACTATCTGGAGCAGGCTTCACTCTGCTCCCTCAAGTCCCAGGTTTCATTATCTACTCAAGATCCAAATGCAACACAAGCTTGTTTCCTGAAATGTATCAGGTCACTAGCTTTTTTCCATAAAACATTTTTTTCTGCTGTGAATTACTTTGATATTACAAATTAAAATTAAATACGAATTTGTCAAATAGCTACAGTGCTAATCAAAATGAAAACACCACTAGCCACCCTACTGCAGCTGACCCTGACAGCCACCCCTCCAGTGCTCCAGGGCTCACCTCCCACCCGCCCTCTCTTCCCTGCGCCTTTAGAAAACCCCGACCTGGGGTCAAGTGACTGCTCCATATAAGGAACATTTTCAGTAAGCGTTCCCTCTGCAGCGTCCTTTAGTTGTAAGTTGGTGACCTACTGTAGCCTTTTTTTGGAGAGGTTACTTCTTCTCCCAAACCAGGCACCACAGAGCTAAGGGGGAGTAGCACCCCCGTTTCCCACTCCTGACCAGCCTCCGGGTCTTCCTTTTTCCACTCATGTCTCTGGCCCATTCTACTTTCCTGAAATTTGGATGCACTGATCTCCACTGCCTTCTGAACCTTTCCATCCACACGCCCGACTTGCAACCCAAGATCATCATATGCCAAATTAACTCACTGTCTTCCTGCCTCAAATCTGTTCCCCCATCCACCCCCTCACTGAACCCAACCCAAGCCAGAAGCAATAAACCAGCCTTCTTTCATTCTCACCCTAACCTCCAACAGTCATTCCGTGACTATGTTCTGTTGATACTATTTCCTAAAAATCTTCCATCTCTAGAATGGGATCATGAGGTCAGCTGCAGTGCGGAGGGCTGGAGTGTTTCCACTGATGTTGCCATGACAACGGATTGATGAGTGCCTAGGCTCACAAATTGCATCCCAGAAGCACGCTTACCCACGGTGTCTAGAGTACAGGGGTCAAATACCAGACTTCAGACATGTTATGGGTTAAACAGAATAATCCAGGGAATGACCAGATGTCTCACGCTCTATATGGAGGTAGATGTTCCAACTCAACACAACATTATATGAATGAACTTCTGGAATATGCTGGTAAACTGCGGAGTCCTTGTATGCTCTCCTTTATTTATTTAAACAATACTCACTAAATACTTGTGTATATGTGTGTGTGTGTGTGTGTGTATACACAAACACATATATTTAGAGAGAGAGAAAATTTTTAAATTTATATATGTAATTAGAGAGGGAGAGAGAGATCATATATGTTAAAACATATGTGTCCTAATCAGAGCCATAGTTTCATTTTCCAGCAACCATCTTCAATTAAGAGAATTCCAAACAGGAATGACTCCCAGTGATATCGTTCTTCCAAAGGTGCTCTGACAACTGGCTGTGAAAATCATCCACGTTGCTTGGACAAGGCACCTTCCATCTCCATATCTGAAAGATACTGGAACTGCGTGCACATTACCCCGAGAGACTGGCGAGTGACTCCTCCCCATTCTGACGGCGTGGCGTGTCGGGCTGGATGGCCCATGCCTCTGGCTCTTCCCTGCTTGAGCTAGCACCTGTCGGTCACCGTAAGGTGAAGGATTCTACGTTCTTAAATAGTGATGGTCCTCTCCTGGGTGGCATGCTTTATAGAGTTTGCATCATTTTACATTTGCTGAACTGAGTATCACTTAACATTACTTCTCTGAGTCTCATCGAGAGCAAGCAAGGGAAAAACATGCTTACACGGAAACGAGGACAATTTATTTATCAGGAGGAACGACTTCTGATATTTGGCACAAGTTGAATGCCATACTGTGCCAGTCAACCTTTCTGCAGGTTGGGGTTTCTACTCCCTTTCATTTACAGAATGAGTATTTCTGTGTTAAGACTGCCCCCATACCTTGACACTGTGAAAATTCAATTGCCCTTTGATTTATATACGTGCATCTAGATCAGGATTTATAAATGGACTTCCTCCCCTCAAAGACAAATCGTGTGGATTAGTGATGCCAACATTTCAGAGTTCTTTCAATGTCTGACATGTGCTATTTTTAGACAGCAAGCCTATTCATTTCTGAGACCAAGTCTGTTTCTAGTTTCTATGCAGAACTTACTAGATTATTGCTGTTGGACAAATCCTAATACCAACAGTACTGCACTTGATATGGCTGAGAAATATTAGTTTGACAGTTGTCTCTTCTGAATTCATATTAATTGCAGAAATATTTGGATGGACATCTCTGCAAAGAATTGCATGAAACAGTCCTATCCTCTGTAACCAAAGCCCAGGTAGCCAGAGAGAAACTTCCACGCGTGTTTCATACACAGAATAAAGCACAGTGCCGAAGAAGGGAAGACGCAGGTGTTAACCCTTACACTGTGGAATAATGGCACCTTTTTTCTACTCTTTGAACAAAGGACCTTGTACGTTCATTTTGCATGAGGCCACTCAAATTATGTAGCTGCCCCTGCTTGTGAGGAGTAAACTACCTTGTCCTTCGTCTCTGGCCATTGAGATCCGTGTCCTCCTAACTTGCTAGCTTCCAAGCAGGGCAAAATAGACCCTGCACCATCCCAGACACACACTCTCCTGCCTTTCCTCCTGCCTAATTGGCTCATCTTCTTTGCTACTCCCTCCAATTCTGCCTCTTCTTTTTAGTGCTAGAGGGTCCCAGGGCTCCTCTCTTTATGCCACCATCCACCCAGTCACCCACCAAACCTTGATCTCTTCTCTATGTGCACTTACTGCCTTCAGTGAGTGCCTCTAGCTTCACTGCTGATCCTGATCATTCCTTCTACGTGCCCAGAATTCCCAAATGTTGTCTCCAACCAAATTTTTTAATCCAATTCCAGAATCAACTCAACACATTCAAATGGAATTGCTGATCTTACCCTCAAAACCAGTCCCCTCGTGGTCCTCCCAGTTCACACAGCAGCATTCCCTCCTTGCAGTTACTCAAGCCAGCAATGCGGGAGTCATCTTACACTCAGCTCTTCGCTCACATTCTTCATCAATCTGTCCGAAATTCTATTGACCCCATGTTAAACGCAGACACAGGCTGCGGCATACTCTTATCACTGCTGTGCTACCGCCCTTGTCAAACACCCCATCTCTCCCATCCTTAGTCTAGGAGCCTCCCACCTGGGTCCTTCCTTGCCCTCCTCTATCCCACAGTCCTGTTCTCATCAGAGCAACCAGAACGACTAATTAACAATTCAAGTCAGATCATTTGCTCTCCTGTTCACAGCCCTACAGTGGCGCCCTGCCTCGGCAAAGCCTAAGTCAACACGTTCTGACCCACTTGGCCTCTTGCTATTCTCTGACTTCAGCTCTTGTTACTGTCACCTTTGCTACCTTAGTTCTCACAACAACACCGGCATCCTCCCACCTTGCACTTGCTGTTTCTTCTGCCTTGAACTCTCCTTCCCCTAATAACCTTCTGCCTGACTTCCTTGCCTTAGTCAAGTCTGCTCAGATTCACCCTCCTGACAGTGGCAACCTGCACCCTCTACACGCTCCCATCCTCTTAATCCTATTCTAGACCGCATGTATTTATTATGTTTCCTTCCTTTTCCCCCTGTAGAACATCAGCCGCGTGACCGCAGGAACTTCTGTCTGGTTCATAGCTGTATCTGCAGCGTCTGGGATGGTGCCGCGCACAGACTAGGCATTACATAAAGACCTGCTGAGCAAGTGTCAAGAAGTTCTGTGTAACCTGGCTGTTGCTATGTCCCTTCAGAAAAGATCTGTATATTCTTTCACAGCTGTTCCAGATGGGTTGATGGCCTTGGATTACTTCCAGTGAAAATTTCTCTGCAGCTTAAAGTTAAACCCCAGATCCAGATTAGCACAGGCATGTGATACAAATTCTTAGGGCAGACGTTGTGTCGGCCACCTGAAGCCAAAGCGAGACAGACACATTTCCTTGTTATCTCCCTTTGATAGCTGGGGCCGCAGTTCTAGAACACTCTTTTACTGTGTGTGTCCCCTTTGATTGCACCAGCTCTCTGAGGACTCCATTTCAACCCTCTGCTGGGAGGATCTGCCTAGTCCATCGCCTCCTGTTTCTGTGGGCCACTGATACAAACCACTTGGTTACCAAGGGCAAAAGACCCCAGGTTTTCCAACCTTCCAAGTAGCTTACAACACTTTCACTCTCAGCAGCGGCTTCCTATTATTTTCTTACGGCTTCCTATTATTTTCTTATGAATTAAGTAATGCATTTAAATTATGTGCATTATGATTTATCTGCCTTTTGTAGTGGCTTTATATGGAGAGTTCTTTAGAATTGCACTCAATCATATTTCTGGACACTGAAGTCCCATACCATATCAACCCATCAGGGTTCTGAACCTGGTTCAAGTCTGGTCAGAGCAAGGTCACGCAATGACTCCCAAAGGGCAGTCTTTTGTCCACACCCCACTCACTATCTAGGCAGATGCAGCAGGGCCGAGAGCTTGCTCTCTTTATGCCTCTCTGCCCAGCCTCTGCAATACCCACTCCTCCTGCCTTTCCACTCCATTGGCTGGCCGTTCTGCTCAGGGCTCCCGGGATACATGGCACCTCCCTTATAGGTCTCAAGGTTAGATGATCTCAGTGGAGCCCTGCTCCTTCCTTCCTTCCTTCCTCTCTTCCAAGGCGATCTCATTCATTCCTAAGATGTTTAACAAAAAACACAGCTGATGACCCCCAATTCTAGCTGACGGCTGGAGACCCCTCTGAGTGCCGATTCCTTATGCAGCTGCTCTCCTGACAGCTCTGCTCTCTATTCTCTTTGTCATCCTTATTCCTTCTCTTTCCTTGTTTCCTAATCCAGTTTCAAGACCCACCCCAGATGCCTTGAATCAGAATCCCAGGAGGTAAAGGCTGGGTTTTTTTTTTTTAAGCTCCATTTGCAGTTCTTATTTTTACATGTAATCAGTCTTTATGACATTAATACATATTCTGGTCACTATTTTGATTTAAACCTTTCAACTTCACAAAAATCGAAAAACTCTGTCTCCTAAAATCAACAGTCTATATTTAGAAACGTGCACATGTGTGCTGAGTGGCTGGCGGAGGAGCAGCCCCCACCACGCTCTGCCGGGAGCTAGGAAGAGTCTGTTCCGGGTGAGGTGCAAGAACACAGACTTCCACTCGCTTCCGGGGCTCTGGTGGGTCTCAGCATGCTCTGGCTGCAAACCGCTTTAAAAACCATCAATGCCATGTAAACACCTGACATGACAGCAAGAAGACACAGGTCGTGGCTCTAGCATCACCGGTTCTCAAACGGCACTCGCTGCGGCACAGGTGTCTGAGGGTGGCCCCAGGACAGGACCTTTGGAGTTATGCACTGCTAACTCCAAAATGACTAGCTGTTTCAGTAAAACTAAGAATAGAAACGAATACTTCAGAACGCAGTGGACCCCCCGTATCTGTGAACTCTCATCTATGGAGTCAAACCAAGCTCAGATGAAAAATATTTGAAAAACAAAAAGGGATGGTTATGTCTGTACCAACCACGTGAATTTTTTCTTGCCATTATTCCCTGAACAATACAGTATAACAACTATTTACATGGCATTTACATTTTATTAGGAATTACAAGAATAGAGATAATTTCATGTATATGAGAGGATACGTTTAGGTTATATGCAAATACTATGTTTTATAATAAGGGCTTGAACATCTGTGGGTTTTGGTATCCTCAAGGGGTCCTGGAACCCTTCCTTCAAGGATATGGAGGGAAGTCTGTACACATCCAGTACATGTTAACTTTGCTTGCTGGTTCCTATCATTTTGTAAAGGATACTTTTGTATCCTACAGTGTATTCACATAGTGTGTTCACGTAGAAATCCTGTGCTTTTGCGAAATTCAGACGTGCTGGTATATTCAATTTCTTTAAGCGATTGGGTGATGACTGTGTTTGTTTTAATTCCTCTAATATCTGCTCCTGGTAAATGTAAACAGATGTCTCTAATTATTCCCTTTCAGTGACAATGCACATGTATTGGGCATGCAGATGGAAGATTAAGGTTTCACAAAGAGAAGGTGAAATGTCTATGGCGCCAACAAGAGTCGTGGATGATTTTCACTGATATCTTGCCATATTTTGGTTCGAAAGTGGGTCGATAAACAAGAACTATTAAATTACTCAAAAGGGAGAGCACTGCTTTAATAAAGCAAGGCATTCCCTCAGCTGCAAGCTGTGGTCCTGTTAAACGTTAGCATCACATCTCACACTCTTCATACTGAAATGAGCTCACGGGAGTTATGACACAGGCATGGGCCAGCCAAGCCAACTTGAGGCCACTGGATGCAAACTTTCCTGTAGCCTCAAGATGGTGATGTAAAGTGGCAAAAGGTTTCCATTCACCATGGCACTGGCTAGAGCATCAACTACCAAGTTAATTGCTCATTTTCCTGATTCTGTAAGAATGGATATTAAAATACAGGTTTTCCCTATGTGAGAGTTGCCTCAAGTTGGATAGCAGCTAGACTAATTTTAGTGTGAGAAGAACAATTCAAAGTGTCTTTATGTTTCTCAGTCCTTTGCAGGACTGCACAGCCAGGATTCAGCCACTGCGGAGATGATTACACAGCTTAGCAATATAGTGTCCAAACCTCCCATGAGTTTGGCATTGTGCATGCCAGATTCAGCTGTAACATAACCAGATATGTCCATTCGTTAGCTGCTACGTTAATCAGAATTAGGGTTTATAATTCACACCTGGCACTATAATTGACACATGGTGATTTAATCAGTCATGATTCACTTGCTTTATATTCACCTGTAAAACTGTGAAACGTCGCTCAAGATGTATAGGATGTGATGTCACAAAAGCTGCATTCCTTTTGGCTGTCCCCTGCTATGCCCTGGCTCAAAATCCAACACCCTGTTCTAACCTTGCCCAGGAACAAGGTTAAACAAACAGTATGAGGAGCGACAGACACAGCTATAAAGATCCTGAGACTCCTGCCCCAGCCGCTACAGCACTACAGCCCGTTATCAAATACACCTTTACGAACGACAGCCTGCAGTGACACAGGACGTGAGGTGGAGAAGTAACACCTAGAACTTGCTCACTGCACGCTATGACTTCCCAGAGCTGGAGCCGATGTGGGGAGGCTCTGCAGAGAAGGCATGCTCCGGCCAGCTGGCATCTCCCCCTAACCCCTCCAGGATGCCTTTCCCTCTGGCACTGCCCAGAGAAGGCAAGACACTGACGGGGGAGGAAACTGAATCGACTGGCACATCTGAGGCTCAAAGGTGACGCCAAAGGAGAAGGGCACTGACGTGCAGGAGCCAGCAGGCTTATGGGATATAAGCTCTTGGTCAGAATGAAGGTTTCCGGCATTCTGTTTCCACACATCGACTGTCCCTGACTGAAGCCTCCGGACCTGACAGGCAGACCACATCTGCCTCTGGTCATTTCCGTTAGCACTGCCTGTGGGCCACACTTACCAGGCCGCCAGTTTACCAGTTCATGGCTGGGCCCCACCAGATGCCACTTGGCTTCCCTGCTGTGATGGGGGACACCTGACAGCAAGACCTGTACCAGTGTCCGGCACTAATGAAGTGGCATTGGGAATAAAGAACAGGGAAAATACACGGCTGACCCTTGAACAACACAGGTTTAACTGTACTGGTCCACTTATATATACATTGTTTTTTTTTATTTTTTCTTTCTTCCTTTTCTTTAGAGACAAGGTCTCACTCTGTCACCCAAGCTGGAGTGCAGTGACTCAATCATAGGTCACTGCAACCCAAACTCCTGGGTTCAAGCAATCTTCCCAAATTAGCCTCTCGAGTAGCTGGGACTAGAGGCACTCACCTCCATGCCCAGCTAATTTGTTGAAGAACTTTTTGCAAGACAGAATCTCACCATGTTGCCCAGGCCAGTCTTGAACTCCTGGCCCAAACCTTCTGCCTTGGCCTCCCAAAGCACTGGGATTACAGGCATAAGCCACCAATCTTGGCCTACAGATTTTTTTCAGTAAATGTAGTTGGACCTCCACATCCATGGGTTCTGAATCTGCAGCTAAATGTGAGTCAAAAATAGAGGATCAACTTTTCATATATGGTATACACGGGTTCCATGGGACTGACTTGAGTATGTGTGGATTTTGGTGTACTTGGAGATGTGGGGGTGGTTCTGGAACCAATCCCCTGAATATACCGAGGGACAACTGTGTGTATCTATGTATACACACACATTTTGAATTCCAAGCTCCTGGAAAGGAAAAAAAAAAGAATCAATAAGCCATGTTAATTGCACAGTGGCTGAATCCTAACTGTGCAGTTCCTGCATAGCCTGCGATGAAGTGAGAAACAGAAAGAACACTGAATTATTGTTCTCATGCTAAAAATAGTCTAACTGCAATCCTACACATAATCCCCCTTCCTATCTACATATATATGCATATATGTATTTGCATGCACGCGCGCACACGCACACACACACACACACCCACCCACCCCAAAGCAGCAATAGATAGCTGCACCGATACACAATTTTTAAATGTTATGAGTGATTTGCAAGAAAGATTATCACTCAACAGACAAGCATTTATTGAACAAATTCATTTATTCATGAACTCTGTTACGGTGTTTATCCATTCATCATTTTCTATTCATTTATTCATTTACCTCACCAGGTTTATGAAAGAAATATGTTATGGACTCCGTTCACAGCTTGGGGCTGATTTCCGTACTGGACCGGTGCCACCAGTCTGTCTGAGTCCCTTGGGGCTTCCTGCTCCTCTCCTCACGTGGCCCTCCTCTGTTTGCACCATCTCACAAGCCCTTCCCATCTGTCCCAGCTCACCAGAGAACCCTCAGCTGACACCTCCATCCTAAAGCCTTCTTAGGCTGTCTCTTCCATTCTGCACTCTGTCAGCTGCTCATCTAACACAAGAAGGTTATCCTTGATGGCCAGCAAGATCCTGTCCACACGAAGATTATGATTCTCCACAACATCACAGGCCCTATACAACTGTTCCCAGAGGAGCTGTTCTCCCCTGGTCTCATACACTGGCTCATGCCCCAATCCTGGGTTGACAGGTGATTGACAGCAGTCAAGGTGGAACACAGCCTCACGGGGGTGGGATGCCCAAAAACAGAAGAGCAAGCCAGGCAAAGAGACGAGGAGCCATCAGAGACGGCACAGCCCACTGTGAGGACACTCGCCAGGCAACC